GGGACATGCACAAATGGTGCGGCCGGGACAGGCACAGGCTGCGCGAGTGGGGCCGGCATAGCCTGGAAGGGCGGGACAGGCACACGCTGCACGGCTGGGGCCAGCACAGGCTGCACGGATGGGGCCAGCACAGGCTGCACGGCTGGGGCCAGCACAGGCTGCGGGGCCGGGACAGGTGCAGGCTGCGCAAAGCGGTTGATGCCCTCCGTGTCTTCAATGCCGTCGATGGAGATGTAAATCTTTCTGGTCGTAGAGAAGGCCCACGCCCTTTCACTGGCCTTGTACCAGGGGCCGCTCCCGTTGACAGAGGGGGCCATTATGGCAGCCTTGCACCATGCCGTCACTTTACGCAGATACTCGCGAACCTTCCTGCCGTTGATGCCAGGACCGTGCGACACATCGGCACCGTTGTTGATAATACGATGCTCGACCTGCAGGATGATAGGTCATGCAGGACAGGAATGGATCCACAGGGTGGATACACATCTCTGGCCCATGCATGCATGGGCTGGCCCTTTAACACATCTCTGGCCCATGCATGCATGGGCTGGCCCTTTAACACAACTCTGGCCCATGCATGCATGGGCTGGCCCTCTAACACATCTCTGGCCCATGCATGCATGGGCTGGCCCTTTAACACATCTCTGGCCCATGCATGCATGGGCTGGCCCTTTAACACATCTCTGGCCCATGCATGCATGGGCTGGCCCTTTAACACATCTCTGGCCCATGCATGCATGGGCTGGCCCTTTAACACATCTCTGGCCCATGCATGCATGGGCTGGCCCTTTAACACATCTCTGGCCCATGCATGCATGGGCTGGCCCTTTAACACATCTCTGGCCCATGCATGCATGGACTGGCCCTTTAACACATCTCTGGCCCATGCATGCATGGGCTGGCCCTTTAACACATCTCTGGCCCATGCACGCATGGGCTGGCCCTTTTACACATCTCTGGCCCATGCATGCATGGGCTGGCCCTCTAACACATCTCTGGCCCATGCATGCATGGGCTGGCCCTTTAACACATCTCTGGCCCATGCATGCATGGGCTGGCCCTTTAACACAACTCTGGCCCATGCATGCATGGGCTGGCCCTTTAACACAACTCTGGCCCATGCATGCATGGGCTGGCCCTTTAACACATCTCTGGCCCATGCATGCATGGGCTGGCCCTTTAACACAACTCTCGCCCATGCATACATGGGCTGGCCCTTTAACACATCTCTGGCCCATGCATGCATGGGCTGGCCCTTTAACACATCTCTGGCCCATGCATGCATGGGCTGGCCCTTTAACACATCTCTGGCCCATGCATGCATGGGCTGGCCCTTTAACACAACTCTGGCCCATGCATGCATGGGCTGGCCCTTCAACACAACTCTGGCCCATGCATGCATGGGCTGGCCCTTTTACACATCTCTGACCCACGCATGGATGGGCCAGAAATCTCACATAACCATCATATTGGAGGCTAACAGCAGTAGACGTGACAGAAGGATAAAAAATCAGTGCAATCACTTAGGCCTGGACCCAGAGGCCATGTGAGTCTCATGTGGCGCAGGGGTCCTTGTCTGGTTGCTGCTTGCATTCGGAATGGGGTGTGAGCCAGGCAGGGACCCGCACACTCTCCCCTGATGAGGAGCATGGGACCCATGCTCCTCTCATGTGGCGCAGGGGTCCTTGTCTGGTTGCTGCTTGCATTCGGAATGGTGTGTGAGCCAGGCAGGGACCCGCACACTCTCCTCTGATGAGGAGCATGGGACCCGTGCTCCTCTCATGTGGCGCAGGGGTCCTTGTTTGGTTGCTGCTTGCATTCGGAATGGTGTGTGAGCCAGGCAGGGACCCGCACACTCTCCTCTGATGAGGAGCATGGGACCCGTGCTCCTCTCATGTGGCGCAAGGGTCCTTGTCTGGTTGCTGCTTGCATTCGGAATGGTGTGTGAGCCAGGCAGGGACCCGCACACTCTCCCCTGATGATGAGCATGGGACCCGTGCTCCTTTCATGTGGCGCAGGGGTCCTTGTCTGGTTGCTGCTTGCATTCGGAATGGTGTGTGAGCCAGGCAGGGACCCGCACACTCTCCCCTGATGATGAGCATGGGACCCATGCTCCTCTCATGTGGCGCAGGGGTCCTTGTCTGGTTGCTGCTTGCATTCGGAATGGGGTGTGAGCCAGGCAGGGACCCGCACACTCTCCCCTGATGAGGAGCATGGGACCCGTGCTCCTCTCATGTGGCGCAGGGGTCCTTGTCTGGTTGCTGCTTGCATTCGGAATGGGGTGTGAGCCAGGCAGGGACCCGCACAGTCTCCCCTGATGAGGAGCATGGGACCCGTGCTCCTCTCATGTGGCGCAGGGGTCCTTGTCTGGTTGCTGCTTGCATTCGGAATGGGGTGTGAGCCAGGCAGGGACCCGCACACTCTCCCCTGATGAGGAGCATGGGACCCGTGCTCCTCTCATGTGGCGCAGGGATCCTTGTCTGGTTGCTTCTTGCATTCGGAATGGTGTGTGAGCCAGGCAGGGACCCGCACACTCTCCCCTTGGCTGACGCGCAAGGGACCCACACTCCTCTCACGCATAGTCTATCACCATGCCTAACCATTGTTGTGTCCGACGAGTCACAAGGCACGAGGGCTTACATTGTGTGCTGGCTTCCTCCCCCCAAACAGAGTGTTTTGAAGAACGGGGAGGTAATCTGCCCCATCATCCTCGCGTCAGACGTCACAGTGCTGAGTGGTCACTGGGCGGATCAGAGTCTGGCCTGTCTATCTCTCCGTCGCCAACATCCCGTATCACCTTCGGTGGCGTGACACCGGCAGGGTGTTAATTGCTCTGCTTCCGATGCCTGATATAAAGATGAATAGTGCGCAAAAATTACAGTTGTTCCAAAAGGCCATGCACGTTGTACTAAACGAGGTGTTCCAAGCATCATCGTGGTACGTGTAAGAAAGGGGAATGTGTGATTGTCACGGGGAATGTTGTTGCAGTAGAGTGTGTATGCAGTGAGTGTATGTTCGACATACTTTCCAGGATGCGTTATATCTGAATCCCCTGTCTTCTAATATCCGGAACACTACTTTAAGCTCCTCTGTGCCATGCCTTGGATTCAGGGGCACCCCGCTCACAGATCCACTTGGAGCGGTTCATTCAGCATACTTCATGCTGTTTGCATACGTAGGGGATTATCCCGAAATATGCAAAGTCAGCTGCACCTTGCAACTGGGCACGGACATGCCCTGTTCTGTATGCTACGTGGAGAAAGACTACATGTCAGTGATCAAGGACGGTTTGAACGACCGACGGCGGGTCGACTTGCAGCGGCAGATCGTTCGTAGCGCGGCCGATTGCAAGAAGTACTCGACGCATCCCATTGATGTAAGTTGGGGTTGACCGCTCCTGTCATGCCTGGTCGGCACGTCAGGGGGGTGTGCGCAGAGTGATGAGGGCATTGACGAGCAATGGACAGAGTGGTCTGCCCTAAGTGAGGTGTGTGGGTCAGACCCACACCCTCACACTCCAAACTGGGGTGTGGGTCAGACCCACACCCTCACACTCCAAACTGGGTTGTGGGTCAGACCCACACCCTCACACTCCAAACTGGGGTGTGGGTCAGAACCACACCCACGCACTCCAAACTGGGGTGTGGGTCAGACCCACACCCTCACACTCCAAACTGGGTTGTGGGTCAGACCCACACCCACACACCCCCGATCCTCAGGGATAGCCCTCATTTGATTACACGTACCCACTCTTAGGATCAGGGGTTGATTTAACAAAAGCCCAGCCACTTTGTGTCGTGTTATTCCCACGTGCAGACGTTTTTGTGGAAGTTCCACAATGCTAACACAGATTGGGGTAACACCTACCAGGCACAAATGCCAGACCTCTTACACGTTCTCTATGGAGGGGTGCTCGCGAGATTGGTGCATGTTCTGAAGGGAGATGAGAACAACGCGTTCGAAGTGGACGAGTGAGTGTTCGGGCCCATGTTGGGAAAATATGTGCGTAGTTGTGTGTTCAAACCCCTCGTTGACATGACCATAACCTTGATTCACCTTCATTTACACATGCAGCCGTCTCTCGGAAATCCATGACGACACCACGCTCGCCGGCATCCCTGTGCCTTCGGGTGCATACTTTGCACGAAATGCATACTATTCGGCTGCCGAGCATGCTGCTATGCTGACAGTAAGTGTTGCTGGAAACCAGGCCCTATGCCTAACTGTGCAATCTATTTAACCCAGACCCTCTCTCTCTCTGGTCACCGGCCGCAACCGCAAAATCGGTTCAGGACCCGTAGCTACCCCTGCCCCCAAACCGTATTCAACACTACCACTAAGCACTACTCCCCTTGACCCCCCCATCACCACCCTCAATCTCCCTTTCCCCACCTCCCCACACATGTTCTTGACCCATCACATGCCAGCCCCACTGAAGTCACGCAACTGGTACACGTGAAATTTGTGTCCCCACATTGTGTGTGCGTCTCTCAAATCCTATCCTACACCAACAGGTACTACCCTTCCTGCTTGAGGGCAAGATCGCATCGGCACGACTTGAGGCGTTGGTGTTCTTTGCAAATTGGCATAACAACCATATTCGCGCAGAGAGCTACACAGAAGCGTCGCTCCTTGAGATGGATCACGACACTGCAAGGTAAGCAATGGGTACACCTACTGGGGGTGGGTGTGGTGCGGGCAAGGGTGCAGGCAGAGTGTGTGGCAAAAACAGAGTAGAGGAGCGAGGGAGGTGCGAGAGTAGCACCACACGCTGATTGATGGGCTTTTGCACGAGGTTTGTTTTGCAGACTGGTGTCTTTGCTGAAGACTCATTTCCCGCGGGATGGTGATGGCTGGAATCTTATCAAGATTCACGGCCTAAGTCATCTCCCGGAGGCCAATCGCCGTGGTGGACACCCGCGCGAGTATTCCATAGCCACGTATGAGAACGCGCACGTTCGTGCCGTCAAGCAGCCGTTTCGGAGCTCCAACAAGCGCGACTACGAGACGGCCATCTTGCAGGGGAATGCAACACAGGCGGCAATGCTGTCGCTGCCTCCTGCAGTCTCTGAACGGCCTCGCGAGTACATGACGGCCGCCAAACGGGTGGGGTGAGGACAGAGTGGGCTGAGGACAGAGTGGGGTGAGGACAGAGTGGGGTGAGGACAGAGTGGGGTGAGGACAGAGTGGGGTGAGGATAGAGTGGGGTGAGGACATAGTGGGGTGAGGACTGAGTGGGGTGAGGACATAGTGGGGTGAGGACTGAGTGGGGTGAGGACATAGTGGGGTGAGGACTGAGTGGGGTGAGGACAGAGTGGGGTGAGGACAGAGTTGGGTGAGGACAGAGTGGGGTGAGGACATAATGGGTTGAGGACTGAGTGGGGTGAGGACATACTGGGGTGAGGATTGAGTGGGGTGCAAGGACAGAGTGGGGTGAGGACCTTGAGGGATGTGGACAAAGAGGTGCAGAGCGAGATTGAGGCGGTCAGAGCATACACAACACATGCACAGCGCTGTTTTCCCTCACCAACACATGTGCATCTCGGATTTGGCAACTTTGATACGTACATTGTCATATCCCCCTCCGTGTGGCATGATGGTACTATATACTATGTGCGTGATGCACGAGATCTTATGTGCGGGCGTCGCGGTGTGGGCAGGCTCGTACCACTGGCAGGCAAGCATTGACCAACAGCGCGGCCACCATGCGAGTGTCAGCCCCGCCACACGCACCGGAGGCCCCTCTGCTTCAACAGTACATGGATGTCACCGCAGGGAGTCTCGATGCATACCGCAACGTCATGCAGCGGCATGGATACAACATCGCCGAGACTCAGGTATGCGGGACAGTGGTGCGAATAGGTGGGGTTGTGGACGTCGCATGGTGCGAATATCTGAGTGACGAGAGAGAGGTGCTCATAGATTGCGGTGCGGACGGTGGACAGTGAGTATGAGAAATGTGTGCAATGCAGAGGGAGATGGGGACAGCGGGAGATGGGGACAGCGGGAGATGGGGACAGCGGGAGATGGGGACAGCGGGAGATGGGGACAGCGGGAGATGGGGACAGTGGGAGATGGGAAAAGGGAGAGATGGGTCAGCGTGTGATGGGGAAAGGGAGAGATGAGACAGAGGGACATGGGGACCGGGAGAGATGGGACAGAGGGAGAGGGGGACAGCAGGAGATGGGACAGAGGACAGAGTGGGATGTAAAGACAGAGATGGATGTGAGGACAGAGTGGGGTGACCAAAGGGTGGGGTGTAATGACAGGATGGGGTGTGATGACAGAGTGGGTTGTGAGTACATTGTGGGGCGAGCACAGAGAGGGGTGAGATGACAGAGAGTGGGGTGAGTACAGAGAGGGGTGTAATGACAGAGAGGGGTGTGATGACAGAGAGGGGTGTGCTGACAGAGAGGGGTGTGATGACAGAGAGTGGGGTGAGTACAGAGAGGGGTGTGATGACAGAGAGGGTTGTGATGACAGAGAGGGGTGTGATGACAGAGTGGGGTGAGTACAGAGTGGGGTGAGTACAAAGAGGGGTGTGATGACAGAGGGGTGTGATGACAGAGAGGGGTGTGATGACAGAGTGGGGTGAGATGACAGAGAGGGGTGTGATGACAGAGAGGGGTGTGATGACAGAGAGGGGTGTGATGACAGAGTGGGGTGAGATGACAGAGAGGGGTGTGATGACAGAGTGGGGTGAGTACAGAGTGGGGCGATGACAGGGAGTAAGGGGCGTGGACGGAGTGGGCCGAGGACAGAGAGGCCCGGAGCGAGATTTGTGTGGTCAGTGCATACACAAGCCATGCACTGCGCGGTGTCCCCTCCCCCAGCATACCACCTTTACGCCCAATCCTCAGCTGCACACATCTCATGACTGCCCCTAATGGTGCGTGTTCTTGCAGGTCCATCGGGCGGTCGCGTTGCCGGCACGGGATGTGCGCACGGGCGAGCGCTCGGCGGTCTATGCGCGAGCAGTACCTTCACACCACGGATCCCCCGCATTCTCCTGTGTGGAGTATGGTGCGGTGGACACCGAGCATCTGTATGGGAAGTTGGTCCTTCTCATGCGCGCGAGGAGGTCCGCTGATGGTCAGGGAGGCGTGTTACAGGAGGTAGCATACATCAAGCCCTGGAAGGAGTGTGGGGTTGATCAGTTGACGGGATGTGTGAAGTTAGAGGAGGTTGAAGGGGCTGATGCATGTGTGGTCGTGCCTATTGCTCACATTCGTCGGGTTGTGCATGTCGTCCAGTCCTTTGACCGGCACGAAGTGTGGTTGCTGAACAAGTGGGCAGCTGGCCTGCGTCGGGGGGGTGTGTGATGACGACAGGCTGAGCCGTGGGCGACATTTCTGTGTGTGCTAGTTTTAGGAAATTACGTTGGGGACTAGTGTTGAGGGTTCACAAGCGTGCAGATTTGTTGACATTTTTTTTTACGCCCCGCAATGTGGCTAGGATAAAGTGTACCTCAATCCTTTGTGTAGATCGGGGTAGGTAATCTCGGCTGGTTCGATAGTCTCTATGTTCAAATAGGGGTATTCAAACCGGTAAGAATGCAAAGGGACTATACAAAACGTGGATACAGCAACATACACTAACTCGATTGTACACAGCAAGTAGATATACTAACAACGAGCTCCTTTTTTTAACCGAGCCTCGACTCCCAGCGATACGTGAAACCGAACCTCAGACCGAAGCTGAAGCTAAAGCGGGGGGGGTATCACGTGGGTAACAACGAACTGAGCGCATCACTGATTGGTGCGCTTCATTGTCCCGAAATGATAGTTGCGAGAATTACCATTTCGTAATCGTCGCTCGAGCGCATAGGTAACCTGAGGGCGTCTTTACGGAAACCTACGGGTTACCCCCCGAGGGTATCCTGGGGGTATCCCACGCTTTCCAGCGGAGTCGGACTCTTGATTTTTTGGGATGGCGTATCGCGTTTATACGCTTGCGTTTTAACACTATACGCAAAACGCTAGGGAATACGCAATACGCAGTCAGAAAAGTTTTAGGGCTGCCCGAAAAAAAATCGCGGAATAGGTGCGGAATTTCTTTGTGAGCATTTCGCGAAAGTCGAAATGCTAATCGGTGGTCTAGGCAAGTGGAAATGTGACTTCGAAGTCGGGAGGCATGTCTGGGAATCGAAATGTTGAATCTCATATTAGTACCGCACTGGAACCCATAACATCTACGAACTCCAACCTGTCCAGAACCACCCCCCCAACAAACCCCACGCTGCTTACCAGCCAGTCAGCCCTAATCTCGACATTTCTACATTTCGTTTCATCTCGATCTCGCCGACTTCATACTTCTCAACGAGTATGCCTAGACTGCGGGCACCAACTTCGTGCTTTGCACCTCGCCCATCCCCCGCTAAAGACCTAACAACTGCCCGGGAAATTTTTTAGGTGCCCAGGCCTGCGTATTCACTGCGTACAGGAAGCCTCCCAAGAAGCGTTCAGCGTTTATACGCTAGCGGATAAACGCTAGCGTATGAAACGCGAAACGCGTATATTCCAACTAAGCTACCCGTCGCTGCTAGCACTACCCGTCGCTGCCAGCACTACCCGTCGCTACCAGCACTACCCGTCGGCACTACCCGTTGCTGCCAGCACTACCCGTCGCTGCCAGCACTACCCGTCGCTGCCAGCACTACCCGTCGCTGCCAGCACTACCCTGTCTCTGCCAGCACCTCGCCACCGCCGCGCACGTGTTTGATGCTCGTCGTCTCTGCTCGCGCGCACACTCAGATGTTGGTCCAATGCACTCCCCTTTGCCGCCACCGCTCACCTCTGCTCGCGCGCACACTCAGATGTTGGTCCAATGCACTCCCCATTGCCGCCACCGCTCACCTCTGCTCGCGCGCACACTCAGATGTTGGTCCAATGCACTCCCCATTGCCGCCACCGCTCACCTCTGCTCGCGCGCACACTCAGATGTTGGTCCAATGCACTCCCCTTTGCCGCCACCGCTCACCTCTGCTCGCGCGCACGTGCGTGGCCGCGTGCCGTTGCGCCGTGCCAATTGTTTCAGCAGCACACGACACGGTGGGCGTCTTCAGCGGCGGCGATTGCGGCGGATTCAGCGCTCGTGACCTGGAAGGTGGCAGAGGCAGGGGAGGCACGGAATATCGACGGACGGAGGGGGGGAGATGCAGAACGAGTCGATGCGCGCGACACTGGCGCCGTGCACATAGTGGCGACAAGTGCACCACTCGCGGCATGCACGGCTATTCTGCTGATTGCTCGTCGCCGTGCAACATCGCTTAAGCGACGTTCGACGACGGCGGCGATGGGGACGACCTCGGCGAGGTCGTGACAAGAGAGAAGTCTGACGGTTGAGTCGGCCGTCGCTGATGAATGGCGAAAAGGCACGTATCGGTCAGTGACAGCCTGGAGCACGAGTGTTTTCTGAAGCGAGTGCTTCTAGGGTTTGGGCTCCTAGTCTGGTTCCACCGAAGCGACGCTAGCGCCGGCTCCACCTGGTGGCATGTAAGCGCTGGACGTCAAGCGCGACGGTTTGAAAGGGAGCTTGGTTGAAGCCGAGTGTAAGGGCGTGTAACCATTTTGCATTTTGTGATTTTGACGTACCGTCCGATTATATGGAATCAGACGGTACGTTTATACCGAAACGGACTGTCCGATTTGAATGTTTGCAACTTCGGACGGTACGAATGCAGATGTGTCACTTTTTCCACATGCTAGGGTTCCGCGTGTCAGAATGTTATTTTATGCTCTAGCCTGTAGTGGGGTGCTCTATAGCGAGTACAACCCTTCTAGGGTTTGCTATTTGTATCCCCATTCTTGCTAGTCCTTCTAAACTTTCACATGCTATCAGAGCAGGTCCATCCCCTTGGATCGATCCTGTGGGTGGGCTTACCACCTTCTCGCTTCCGCTGCTACTACTGCAACTACCCTCTGAGCCGCACGCCACCGGGGCGTGCGGCATTTTTCTTCCCGTCGTGCGCCCCGAGGCGCGCGGCGGTTTTCTGCCCGCCGTGCGCCCCGAGGCGCGCGGCGGTTCTCTGCCCGCTGTGCGCCCTGAGGCGCGCGGCGGGCTTCTGCCTCGTCGCTCGGCGCGTCGCCCTCGGGAGGCGCTGCGACGGGCGTCGGGGACCAGCGCGTCGGCCCCGTCGCCGCCCGCAGCGGGCCCGTCGCCGCGCGCAGCGGCCCCGTCGCCGCCCGCAGCGGCCCCGTCGCCGCCCGCAGCGACCCCGTCCCCGCCCGCATCGGCCGCCCCGTCGCCGCGCGCAGCGGCCCCGTCCCCGCCCGCATCGGCCCCGCCTGCGCCCCCCCCCCCCCCCTTTTCCCATCGCCTGTCGAGGCGACCCTCGGGGGCCGCTTGCGGGCGGCTGCGACAGGCGACGGGAGGACCTACCTGGGGGAGGGGGGTGAGCGCCGCCCCTTCTGCTGCCTGTCTTGGCGCCCTGGGAGGCCGCGCGTCGGTTCCCCCCCCCCCCCGTAACCTCCCTACCCGCCATCCCGCCCTGCCTGTGTTAGGGTTTGGGGAGTGGCGAGTAGGGGGTGGCGAGTATGGGGGTGGCACTTCTTCATTCCTCCCTTTGCTCCTCCTCCTCCTTTGTCTCCCACTGCTACAGCTGTCGCTGAGGGGGGTGGATGTGTGGGAGATTGGGGTTTAGGGTTTAAGGGGGGTGAAGGGGGAGGAGAGCTAGTGGTGTAGCAGTGGGTGTGTGTCAGGGGGAGTAGGACAGATTGGGGAAGCTGCATGGAGGTTGCCGTTGTGTCGCTAGCAGCACCTGTAGTCCGGGGACTTCGTCCGGTAGCCCAGTCGTAGCCAGCTGTGCAAGCCGCCCGTGGGTCCGTTGCTCGTCTGCCGCTACTTTAGCCGCGGGGCCAGTTACCCCTGTAGTCCGGGGGCTTCGTCCGGTAGCCGCTGTGCCAGTCTGCCTCCTGTTGCCCGTGTGTCTGCAGCTTCATCCGTCGCCTCCTATCTCCTTTCCTCTCACTCTCTCTCTCCTCCGCCTCACTTGCCCGTTGTGACTACCTCTAGCTTTGCTTATAACTGTGAACTTTATACTACTTCTGCTTGAACTTGTGCTCAGACTGTGTGGTGACATTGTGATCCACCCTGAGCTTGTTCTGTTTTGCTTGCTCTGCTGGTTACACCCCACTTTGGCTATGGGGGTGTGTCAGAATGTTATTTTATGCTCTAGCCTGTATTGGGGTGCTCTATAGCGAGTACAACCCTTCTAGGGTTTGCTATTTGTATCCCCATTCTTGCTAGTGCAACCATCTTCTTCCTTCTAAACTTTCACACCGCGATGGTTTTCCCTTCGCCATCTCAAATGTACACGAGTAACGCCAGTCACAACCCATCGCTATTTTCGTTGGTGGATTTCAGCGCTTCGGCGTGTTGGAACGAGCAGGTATCTCGGACTCTTGTGTTTCGGGAACAGCTATGGCAGGAGTGGTAGTATTGGTAGAGCCCGGTGGCGGGGAGTTGGGAGTGGTGTTGTCAGACTGGGTGTTCTGGGCGTTGCTAGAGGGATACATTGTGCGGAGTATGTGAGTAGTGGGTCATTGTCGTGGCTTCTTGTATTGAAGTGAGGCTAGTTGTGATTGGTCAATGTCCCTTTTTGCATCCGAGTCGTATTTTCCCATGTTTTGGCGAGGCGGTCCGCTGAAATCCAAATTCGCCCGCCAATCGCGTGCGCGGACAGGCGGATAGTCCGTTTGTGATTCGGACCGTCCGTTGTCAGAGTTTCGTGTCGTTGGAAAGAGGAAAAAGTGACATGACGGTTCGAATTTGTAGCGACGTCGCACACATCTTCGCGAAAAACTGCA